GGTTGGGCCCGTGGTCAGCTTTAGGTAAGGATGGCTGCCGGTCTCCCCGGGGCAACGGGGGTTAATCTCGCCCCGAGCCCCGCGGGTGGCGTGGGGCCGTGCGGGGTGTGCTGTGCCTTCCGACGGGCAGGAGCGAAGCAGCGCAGAGCAGCGCCGCTTCTGGGGGGTTTGTGAGGCGGTGGTAGCTGTGCTCGGGGTGCAGGCGCTGAGGTCCTGTGCTGGCATCGCCTGGAGGGGTAGGGCATAACGGCCTGAGAGCGACAGCGTGAACGTGGGCACGCTGCTCCAGGCTGGAGGCAGCTGTCCTGCTGTGGTGTGGAGCTGGGGCAGATAAGTGCTCAGGTCCTGATCAGACTCTGTGCAGAGAGATGTGAGCATAGAGCACTCCTACCCCAGCAGCTCTGCAGGGGTGTTTTTCTGGTTTGGTGCCAGAGTTCGGAGAGCTTTCGGTTGAGGGCTTAGGAGCTCCAGGAGCAGCCCGTCCAGTCCTATGCCCCCAGGAGCTCCCTTTGTGGGAAGCACAGTGTTCCAGCTGGTGACCTTCCTGGACGCTAGAGCTCTGGGAAAACTCCTCGGCCTGGATCCGGGAGGGCTTTTGGCTCTGGCTTAGGGCCGGCTGTTACATGCCTTGACCTGACCCCGGTGCCTTCACTCTGCTCCCCAGCGCTCCTGTGTGGTATACCCCAGTAGCCCGCTCCCAAGTGATGGGAAGCTGTGCGCACTGCACACTGCTCGGTGCCTGCACTACCCTCAGCGGTGGTGGTTCTCTCCTCCTTGCTGTGCAGGCTAGTGTATGACAGGGAGACGGGAAAGCCAAAGGGATATGGCTTCTGTGAGTACCAAGACCAGGAGACGGCCCTCAGTGCCATGCGGAACCTGAATGGGCGAGAGTTCAGCGGGAGGGCCCTGCGCGTCGACAATGCGGCCAGCGAGAAGAACAAGGAGGAGCTGAAGAGTGAGTCTGAATTTTGTGGTGGAGAGCATGCTGCTGTCATGCTGGGCCTGGCCTTTTCGGTGTTGCAAAGTGTGCCTCTTCTGTGAGCCTGGCGAGGTGGAGACTTTGCAGAGCTAACCTGCTCCAAGCGATGCAGCAGTAGTTTTGCAGAGGGCTCAGCTCTGTGTTTCCTCTCCCAGATGATCTCCCTGTTTTTACTGCCTCCCTTTCCCCATCATGGCATGGTGCTTCCCTTCTGATGAGCCCGTTAAAAACGGCCGGTTCATGTTGCCGTACGAGGTCACAAACTCTGTTGCAGGCCTGGGCACCGGTGCACCCATCATAGAGTCACCCTACGGGGACCCTGTCAATCCTGAAGACGCTCCGGAGTCCATCAGCCGGGCAGTAGCCAGCCTGCCACCTGAGCAGATGTTTGAGCTGATGAAGCAGATGAAGGTGAGTGAAGTGGAGGGCTGCACTCTCTGCGTGAGCACAGGGTCTACCACCGCTGCGCGTGCCCTTGCAGCCTCTGTCGCGCCTTGCCGAAGCTCTGATCTGCGTGTGTCTTCTCAGCTGTGTGTCCAGAACAGCCCCCAGGAAGCCAGGAACATGCTGCTCCAGAACCCCCAGCTGGCTTATGCCCTGCTGCAGGCCCAGGTGGTCATGCGGATCGTGGACCCGGAGATCGCACTGGTTTGTCCCTTACTGCCTCATCTGGGGTTGGTAGGATATCAGTGGAAGCCTGTGGTGGAAGGGGGGTGGAAGAGAACTCCTTTCTCCTCCTTCTGCTCCTAGAAAATCCTGCATCGCCAGACCAGTGTTCCTCCTCTGATCCCAGGCAACCAGCAGTCAGTGCCAGGGCCGGGGCCTGGACCAGGACCGGGGCCTGGGCCAGGGCCAAATGCCCAGCTGAACCCACAGAATACCCCCTCGTCCCAGCCGCAGCCCATAGTAAGAGCCTACGTGACGTACGTGGTTTGCAGGAGAGAAAAGAGCATTGCTGGCTCCTGCTCCCCCAGCTGGAGCCCATGTGCCCCAGTGATGGGGCTTCCCTGAGGTCCACTTTTTCTCCTGGGTAGGGTGGGATGCACGTAAACGGTGCTCCTCCTCTGATGCAGCCGCCCATGCAGGGAGGTGTGCCGGCCCCAGGACAGATGGCAGCCCCTGTGCAGGGCCCGGGCCCTGGCCCCATGGCTCCCGGAGGTGAGTTGCGTGGGTTTCGGCTGAACTGGGCTGCCCTGGGCACATGGGTCCTGAAGACAGTCCCCCTCTACCTTCCTTCTAACCAGAGGGCTTGGCCCCGTGAGAGCACATGTAGTCCCGTACCGTGTGGTGGTGGTGTGGCTACTGCCAGCGGCTGTCCAGAAAGCTGGCTTATCTCTGTGAGGTACCAACACCAAGAAAATAAACCTCTGGATGCTCACCCAGGAGCTGGGAGTGGGGAGGTATTTGGGGCCAAAGGAATTGGTTAGTGGTGCAAGGATGGCTGAGGAGGGATCTGATCTCTGCCTGTTCCCTCTCAGGTGGGATGCAGCCGCAGGTTGGGATGCCAGGTGGAGGGCCTGTCCCCTTGGAGCGTGGACAAGGTAAAAGAGGCGTGAGGTAGTGCTGTGCATTATGTGAGCCTCGCTCTGGCAGGGGCCCAGGCCACGGGCGCTGAGCGGTGCTGCGCCAAGGAGCCCGTGCCAGCTCCCTGTAGCCTTGCCACTCCTGGATCTGAGGCCGCTCCTGCAGCGCTGGGCTGCGCCCGGGTTTGTTCACTTAGGCGCAAGGCTGTGGTAGCCGCTCTCCTGCTTCCAGGGCCCCAGCCCATGCCCCAGTTTGCTCCCAGCTTGTTCTGGGCCGTGTTGTGCAGACGTGCCCTAGGAGTCGGCCCCGCAGGGCCCCACTGAGCGGGACGTGCCGTGTTTTCCCTCTCTCTGTGAGCCCGTGTCTGTCCCTGTGCTTGTGCGGGCAGGCGGAGCTTGCTCTTCTCTGGTCCCTGTCCTGCTCCTTCTCTGCCCGGGTGCTGGGAAGCAGCTTGTGCTGCTGCCGCGTCTGCTCGCGTCTCCCAGCGCTCCCTGCACCGTGCCCGGCAGAGGGAGCTGGGCCTTCGCTTTTGCTTGCGACAGTGAGTGCGAGGCTCGGCAGGGAATTTCCCGGTGAGTGACGGCTTGGCTTTCCCTCCGCCTGCACGGTCTCTACGGCCCAGCCCCGGAGCTGGATTCCTTACGGTTCACACGTTGCGTTGCTGCCCCGTCAAGCCGTGTGTCGGGGTTAGTACAACCGAGATGTTCCTGTTCTCCCAGTAATAAGGTGTGCAGGCAGTTGATGCCCCTATTGCCTTGACTTGTATCACAGGCCTCGTTTCAGGAACGTGGCAGACCTGTTCTGAGATCCTCTGGTCTTAGGTACTTAGGGGCAGCTGACTCATTTTCTTTGGGGTGGGCACAATCTTCCTGAAAGCAACCTGGTAGTTCTTGGCATCCAAATGGTTTTGGAGAGCAGATAGAAAATTAGCACTGGGGAGTGCTGTGGGAAGCTGCGGGCACGAGCTGGCTGGCTGTGCGTTGTGGGGTGCAGCATTGCCCTGCAGAATGCCAATTCTCTCAGCAGGACATCCTCCTGCCCTGCACGTTCACATGGTGAGCAAGGGAAGGGCTATGCCAAGCTGGCTGTCACGCCTGGGGTGACAGAGGTGGCGTTAATGGAAGAGGTTGGTAAAGCCAGACCTGCAGCATGCAGCATCTCCTCCATAGGTTTTCTGGGGGACTTCAGGGAGTGGAGGTGGTCCTGCAGGCAGCACCGTCCCCAAGGCTGAGTGCATGTGTGCATACACTATTTACGTGTCTGCTCTTCTCCCTCTTTTCCTGCTGCTTGCCCAGGGAACCTGCAGCTCTCGCCCGTGGGACCTGCCAGGCCTGCGTCTATCGAACGCGTTCAAGGTATCCCGGCACCCGCCAGCTCCTTCCTCCCGTGGAGCTCATTGTGGAGTGTGCAGAGAGCAGCTTTCACCCCGCTATGCTCGGGGCCAGGGACTGGTATATCACTCTGTAGCCTGGCAGGGATAAGTGGAGGAGGAGAGGAGGCGGCAGGATTTCCTCCGAGGCTGGAGAACAGGCTAGTGCCGTACACAGAGAGCCACCAGTGGAAAGGGAGAGTCTGCTTGGAGAGGGCCTTTGCCTCGGATGCAGCCCCCTTTGTCACCTCACTACCAGGAGCCTTCCAGGTCTGCTTTGCTCCTGGCCCCACGTCAGCTTGTAGAGATTGTCACAGGGGTACCCGCACTCGTTTTGGCCA